GCTGTATATTTAAAAACAGTCGCCCACTCGATCTATCGCCTGGTCAAGCGCACTGAGGCAGGCGAGTACCTCCGCCTCAGCTTTCGGCTACTACCACAGTATACAATACAGACCCTCCGCTGTGTTGCAGCCACTGTCGTTGAGTGAAATATGTGAATATGAAAGTTCAGCAGGCAATTTCAGGATTCAGCAGCTGTTTAGGATCAGTCACCTGTGGTTGATTGCTAGTGATCTACAGGATGTACACCCTTCAGTGACCCGGGTTTCGTTGTACGTTGTGCCTAGGTGTGTGGCAACAAAGTTATCAAATACGAGCCTCTTTGGCGGTAATCAACTACTCTGGATTACTCATGCAGCTCACAAGCTACATAGCACAATCCCAATTCGGAGAAGCATAAGACCCCTTTGCCCACTATTCGGGCTCATCGTTGGTGCGCATTCACTCGGTCCCCTACTGGAGATCGAAGCCATGACTGCTAGAGACTGATGCCAACTAACCAGCAGATTAAGCTACTGAGCCATGGGTGACAGTGGCTGGGCTACATAGTTTGCAATCTAACTGGGATATAGCACGACCTATCTTCTACTGACATGTAGGTTATTACCTTTGCAGCTGACAGTGGCTTGTCTCCGAGCCTCCGAAGCCTCTGAATTAGCAGACAAACGATGGAAAATTCGACCATCGTTGCAATCCGTTGGTCTTTAAACTAATGATTATCTTCGTCCTCCCAATCCTCATACCTTGTAACTCACTGCCACAATGGACCCAAGGTAACAAGTACATTGAGCCGCAATGGAGAATTTTGGGGTTCACGAAAGTGTTTCTCAAATTTAATCGGTCATGAACTATCTATGCTAAATGCAAAATTTCCACTATTTCACCAGTTGTCCCATCGGTGTCTACATCAGTTCATCCATTTCAATGACAACACTTGAACCATCATATGCTATCGGTGTCCGCTTAATCAGCTTTCCCTTCCTTCTTAGTGCTAAGTCTCCAAACATGAAGTGAAATTTAGAGAATTATATCTACCCGTAAGTGGGGAATTTTCGATCCAAATAGTCTTTGACGTCTTCACAGTAGCTTCCTGTGGCATCCTCAAGACCAATATACTGAGATATTTCTGTTCATTGCCTGTATCTGCCGGTGTGTGTCAGTAACCCGCTCACCCACTCATCGATTGGCCTAATTTAGAATACTAGATCGATGCGTTGTACAACATGGTTAGAATACAGTTTTGCCTTCTGTTTGCCTGACGGGTTTTGCTGTGCAATACCTCGGCTTCGAGCCATCCACTAAGCGTTAGTTCTGCAGTTGCTGAACTGGCACTTCTAAGTCAGGAAGTCCACCGGCTATGGGGAGAACTACCTGATTTAAAGGCTACTGCGAAGAACCTAGCTTTTCTCTGTGATCGTAGGCCAGATATTTTATAAGTTGAGCCATAGCTAATTACAGGAAACCGCGTTAAACCTAACTTTCAGGACGATAATATCACAGTCGCCCTTCGCCTGTTCCCAAACCTTTAGCGATGTAGTGATCAGTCCCCTTTACTATTGTGTAGTGGACGTATCAAGGTTATGAAATTGGCAGCTACGAACATTCCCTACTATCGAGTACCATTAACATTGATTACGAAGAGTGAGCACTTTAGCCAGTCGTGCTAAGTATCCTCATCCTGTCAATAGCCTAGTAGACGACCCAGGATGGGCTGCAGCTACACTGATTTTGTGGGATCATGTGCTGACACACACACACACCAAGCAATGCGGTGGAAAACAACCTCTAAATATGCTTGAACCTCTGGGGATAATCTTCATCGTGATTATTTCCTCTTGTTTACGATTGTGAGAAAAACGAACCGGGTCTTAATCGGAATTCTGTAAGATGATTTCAGCATTTCCAGCTTGAATTTTACAGGCCCCATATGACTTCGGCGTCAGTCACGTATGTTTAGGCTTTAGAACGCCAAGATTCTGTATGGCTTGCTTAATGGGTCCATATTGAAATGTACCAGAACTTTTTGGGCGAAAGACCATCTTCTTGGCTCAGCAACTTTCAGTTCCGGGTCTCTTGACCTAGCCCATTGCGATGTTGTGATATTCTCGTAAGTAATCTGGATTGGAATGAGCTAGGCACAAGCCCAGAGCTAGCTTCGAAAATGTAGTAATAACGAACAGCAAAAGTACGCAGGAATCATATTCAATGGAATCGGAGGTACGCAGTAAAACAATAAAAGTACAGTGTTTTTTTTATGAACAACCACTACATGTGTGCGGCTTTGCATTACGTCATTGGTACCCTTGCTTCTTTCATTTACAAGGGGTTATCACAAGCAACCGGGTTCATGGACTCGCAATTGCTCATTATTAATTTACATCAAGCCTGGTCATTGGAGTATCAATTTAGTCAACTCTCATGCTTCTCGGTCATTTACTCGTAGTTAGGGCAGTTGGTAAACAGTTGCTAGTTTGTGTCAATAATAACGCTTTTACTGCACCATCTCTATTGAGGAGACTGCTTTCACAACCCAGCTACAGTTCTCTCGGAACCAGTGACATTCACCTGAGTGAACTGAATGTAGCACCAACAACCCTGTCCGAGCCATTAGCACATTAGTTCATACTTGCTGGATGAGCAAACTGTGCCTACCATGTTGAAACGCGACATACTCCCTCCGATTTTCAAAAGAGGTAATCACTCGAAAACCGACCACTATCGCCCAGTGGTCCTACTCCCTGTGCTCTCAAAGGTGATGATGGCAATCATCGCTGAGGCTTTAATAGACCATCTAGAACGCCACAACATCATAAAACTCGAACAACACGGTTTACGCCAACGCCGTTCATGCACTACCAACCTACTGATTGCACCCAGTAGTTGGGCGGTAGCGGCCGATGAGGCGTCATTTACTTCGACCGACTGGACCATTGCATTCTGCTCCACATGCTCGAAAGCTATGGAGCTGAGGATCCTACCCTTGGATGGATCTGGAATTTCCTGCAGGATCTGCAACTGCAGTGCGCTGTCCGATCCGAATCATGTCGAATGTGGACTTCCATAAGGATCAGTTCTGAGGCCGTGTCTGTTTCTCGTGTTCATTACCGAGCTTACGCATTTCCTTGCCACAGATTTCTTGCTGTTCGCTGACGATGTTAAGATGTGGTGGACGATCGCCTACCCAGGAGATCACTTCAGCGTATGAGTGGTCACTCCACATTCTTCTCCGGTTCAATTCGGGGAAGTGTAAAGTGGTCCACATTCCCCACTATCCAACATCGCATGCAAGCTTGAAGACCAACTTCTGCAAGCAATCACCCAGGTGCCTGACCTTGGGTTACTAATCCAGGCTGATCTGCGCTACTCAGCACAATCTGAGAAGGCGTCAAAGACTGGAAACCAACACGTTGGCATGCTGCGGAGGGCGTTCGGGTGGTTTGATCCCTCTGTCTGTTCGCATTTGCTTAACCCCTACGTTCAGCCTCGTGTGGAATACATAATCCAGGCCTTTCAGCCCTAGCATAAGCAAGACATCGCAGCGCACGAGACTCCACAGCGACGAGACACGAAGTATCTCAAAGGGATTTTTAATCCTCTTTATCAACTTATACTGAGGTCCCTACGAGTATACAGCAGCCGGTATTGGCGCCTGCGTGACGACATTAGTATGACCTAGTATATTTTGAGGAACCCCAACCACGTCTGCCGACCCCTACTACAACTCAGTCACGAATTTGAGGGGCCACCAGTTCAAGTTGGTCACGCAATACAGTCGGATGGTATGTCGATGAAGCTTTTACCCTCCTCCTGTGTGCAATCCATGGAACAGCCTCCAAAATTACGTTGCTCCCGCCCCCAATTCATCTGTGTTTAAAAAACGCCTTGACGTTGCCCTGTGTTTCTCGACAGACAACATATTGTGACGATGTCACGCAACCTGAAGTAACCTACACAACTCTGGTTGAATTTTTCTACATGTCTGTGTGCAAACAGTGGTGAGTCCACCATAACTATTTTCATTGTATCCCTTTGTTTTCTATTCACCTTGTTGTGGTTCTCATTCTGGCCATCCTGCGTGACTTGCTAAGCATCTGCTTTTAACTCGCACTATATCATTGTACCATTGTTCCATTGCTTAAATCTCTGCATTCACTAGTCTTCATTTTCTTATGTGACCTTTCAAAATATCAAAAATGGGTGACTTTTTGACACAGATGTAATGTTGTTGCGGTTCCGCAGCGGGATCCTCCCTTTTCATCCGTCACCTATCTTTCGAGCCATCTGAGAATGTGCCACAACAAAGAACGTGACTTGTGATTGGGGCCTTGCGCTGTCTTTTACCGATGGCTTCCTCCTTGAGGCTGAGACTGCACATCACGTCGTATACTCATTGATTTTGAAATGTGACTTGCTCAATCAGTACTGTTGTAGGATGGCCGGGAATTCAAAGGAGACTGTTGCGGAACTTTGCTTGTGTTTATGGTGGGGATGCGATAGAATACATTGTACCATACTGAGAGTTCTGTTCATGGACCTTCACGCTTTCATCCTATCTGTCGCATTCAAACAACCTGTCTTTATGTAAACACACTGATGAAGGTCAGCACTTTGAGGGTAAACCTTTACTATTGATAATGGGAATACTAGCAAATAACTAATTAAATTTTTTTTCAAGAGCGCTATTTCTTGACTTCCTCCGTCCATAACCATTAAACGTGTTGCAGATATCGTGAGCTTGTCACCGACTCAGTAAAACATCGCAGGCAATAATTTGGCACTCCTGGACGCTTTCAAATAACGAGTAAAATTACATAGAATGAAGTTTACAATTAACGCAGTTCTTGTGGTTGTCTAGATGGTCGGTCCTTCGAAGCCGAACAGCCTGCTCCAGTTGCTCACTCCTTTATGCTACCAGTAGGAGCCAAACACCCCACAGGGATTGCAACCTTTCCTATATTTGAGTCCTTAGTAAACATGGTTTTTGCTTCCCTACCTACGTTAGGTCACGGAGTGGCATCTCTCCTGATAGCCGTAGTGATGCGCATCGGCGCTACTGTGTTGGCAGTGCTTCCCTCTAAAATGAACATGAAGGAGAGACTATTTGTTGGATTCGCTTGGCTGCCCAAAGCAACTGTCCAGGCTGCTGTCGGACCTGTGGCGCTGGATACGGCAAGGAAATTACATGCTCCACCGGAAATCATTCACTACAGCGAACAAGTAAGTGCTTAGTTGCTCCACATCTTCATAGAAGTCTTCTAACTCCCACCCCCCGCCCTCGTGTAGACCGGCCGATGATGAAACGCCGTTCCTTGGCTGAACTGCCTCGAAATCATTAACACCGTCCTGATTTCACACCACTGTTCGTTTTACCCGGCCGTAAGATTTAGGTGTGTGTCGCTTCAAATTCGTGACATCTCTTTGCTTACCAATAAACACGAATACATGGCAGTGACTACAACTCTCTAACTAAAAAATAATAAGTGTCTGACAACACACACAAAAGACAAGGCTTATTTCTCTATTTTCACTGGTTTTTGCAGGCTTGTTCTTACTCTTCATACATTATACCGCTGTTTCAACTCTTTGGCTTCCTCACCGTTTTTAGCTACTTTGCATTGCGCTTACATAAGGCTGAACCACTTGTGCAGTACTTCACACCCATGTACTTGTTGCCGATAACTTTTGCTTATTGATGAACGCGTTCAACTTTTCTGGTTGGTTGATTACCAGCTGCTTCCACATCCGTTAGTGTGATCCATCAACCACCAGCAGGTGGAAAACCAGTACAGCACAATCAACCTCTTCACCTAAAAGGTTGGTGGTTTTAGCCTCCATGTAGTCTTCAGCGAGTAGACATGTTGACTGTCCACGGCCAGTCGAGCAGTGAGTGATAGCCACCACCAGATGCAGTGCTGCGTTCAAGGAACTGCCGTTGATCTACCATTGTCTATAGTCTGCTAACATTCTTTGCTCTACAGTGATAAAAGTTCTATTAAGGATTGTGGTAGCTATAAACAAGACCAAGTATTAACTGAGGTCACTTTGAAGTACTTGATATGCAAATGGACAACGACAGGCACTCAGGACCACGATTCACTATCAAGTGAACGAGGTCAACCCGGTCACTGGTACCGCATCTGAAGCAAATGAATAATAGCTGTTGGCAACTGAAAAGAGCGCACTACATGATCGGTTTCCTAAATACTGGTCCTCGTTACCTACAGATAGCAGAACTACGCCTCGATTCCGCGAACTTTTGGATGTCAACCAAATCCTCTACTCCAAGGCCACCGAGTCGCGGTGGATAAGGCTTGTCATAACGGTTAATGGAAAAGTATAGTTCAGATAGTTACTCGTCATGTGAATGAACTGCGACACGCAGTCTCAATCGGGACTCACCACTCACCACCCTCCAAGCTGCGTGTATTCAGATGCAGAGCAGTCTTGCATTTCTTAGCTGAGACACTTTTCCAATGACTGCAATCTGGCTTAGGGAACCAAATGGTACCTCTGCAGTTAATCAGGACCACTGGCATTTCGATTTATCGCAGCCCGCACTTAGTTGACTCGCAGCATAGTGAACACGAAGTCACTTACCTGATGCACCCTACAACATACTGTTTCGTGCGACTAATCATAAGCCTGAGTCAAACATTATATTATTTAAAGCATTGCGTTCCCTGTATCATTCTAAACAATACAATGAGAAGACGTATGTTGCAAGGTGATATCCTTTCGTGCTGTCTGATCACCTGCAAACGAGTAACCTTTTAAAACGATCATTAGTGAAAAGGAACCAATATTTTGTATTTTGAATGAGTAGTCGCACACCGTCATAGTTCACAGCGGAATCACTAGTGGAACAATAATCACATTCCCCGAGGAGGCTTGAGTGTGCCAGCCAGCTGCTTTTGCACACAAAGGTCAGTGCGGTTGCGATTAATGGCTACGGCTTCAGCGAGCTTGAACAGTTTGGCGTTTATATTACGGTAGGTAATCGTAAACGCCACGTCCGGGTGAACTTGATGACCTGTGCTCAGTAGGCGCTTAGCAATCGATGAGTCAGCATTTTGAAGCTCAACACCTGTCCTCGTGTTTTACCTCTCGTAACGTTATCAACCCACTTCGGCATTCGTTCTCCGACCCGCTTAAGCAGCTACCAATACGTTCTGCCGATGTAACTGCTTCCGCAGTTACAGACAAAGTGCTAAATGCAATGTGTTGTGACAGAGGTCGGTTGGGAAAGCTTGATCGAAGACATTGGTAACTTTCTGGTTGTCCAAAAGGGGACCAGTTTGACAGCACTGAATATCCGTCGGAATACTGTGGCTACACGTCGCTCCAGTTGCTTTGCCACGACATCTCATTTGACTGGCAACTGGAGATAGGCGGGTGTTTTTGACACACTAGCTGGCTTCTGTTCGTTCTCTTCCATCGCGCGGCCGTGGCACGTGATAAAGGCTGCAGCGTAGCCATTTGCCCGCATGGTCTGCGTAATAAATTGCAATTCAGACTCCAAACACTCGGTGCTGCATATTCTACCAGCTCTCTGGAACTGGGTTTTAACGAGGCAGCGTTTATACTGAACAGGTGTGAAGCTACTGAAATTTTCCTATAGTCTTGTTCAAGTGACTTTTCGGTAGACCGATCATCATATCGAGCCGTCTGTTATTCTTGTCAATAGCACATCTAAAAAGGCAAGGCAGTTGTTATTTCTTAGTTCACCTGTAAACCGGGCATTTGGGTGTGCGCTGTTCATCGCCTCTATAAGGGATTTGGCAGTATTGATGTTTGGAGTGATTACCAACGTGTCATCGGCGTACCGCTTGTACAGGCACATCTGGTCAAGGTGTAGTTCACAACGTGATTCGACCATTGCCATGAAGATATCTGCAAGCGCAGAGCCGGGTGGACTTCCCATAGCAACGCGGTCCACCCGTCGGTATGACTCACCTTCGAACAGGAAGTGAACCTACTCAGTGCATAACAAAATCAAATCATTCAGGTATTTCAGTGGCTAATAACCCATGTGCTAATTTACGAACGGGTTACCATTACCTGTAATGCAATAGGAACAGGTGAACTTACATGGAGTTTGTTTTATGCATAGACGTAGAGTTCTGCCCTCCTTCGTAATTTGCAGTGAGGTGTATTCGTAAGGTGTCGGTTCTGGCCGCCCAAAGCTGGATAATCGTTTGTACCAGTTATACTTATGTATCTTTGGTTTTTAGGTGCTCACTTTGGCTGCATTGGCTATTCTGCTCACGGCCCCTCTCGGAGCCATTCTCATGCCACTGACTGCCCCCTATCTACTGCGTCAAGATCTGAGTGCTTCTCAAGTTATGGTCGCCCGAACCACACGGCCTATCACAGCGAGAGCGGAGCCTGTACCAGTCTCGATGACGTCGCCGGCGAACTTGGAAACACCACCCAACGTCACCCAAACTACTGTTAATACGGAGCCTTAATACAGAGTTTGCAACTTTTGATAGATTTTCAATTCAATAACCTTTCCTCCACTTCCCCCTCCCCCTCGTTTGTGGTCAACATTGGTAATAATCCTTGCCTTGTTCTGAGGTATAAAAGGATGTAAGATTTATCTGTTCGACCCAACCTTATGTTTCACGCTGAACTATTTTACCTACTCAATGATTTAGATGACCGCGTCCGTTTTCCAGCGTCACTGTCCCCTCCTCTGAACTTCACCTCACACTGTGCTGTTTGTGTGACCCATCTATACTACTAACTGATCGATAGATTTCAGTTGTTAATGCTGCTGCTGCTGTTGTTACTCTTGCTGTTTTTACGTCTAACAATTATCTTCTACCCATCTGGAAAGAGAGTCGAATCACTGGATTAACGTAAGTAAACGAGTGTGGACTAGGAGGTCCGGAACTCATCTTGGTGCTGGCCTATTTCGTGACGCAGTATCTGGTCGTTCTATTCATCCCTTTGTCAGCACTCCGATTTACTCTTACAGCCTTGCGTTTCCTGACGTTTCTGAAGGTCAAACGAGACCTAATCCCGGATGGTAACGCGATGGACGGACACATGAATAGCCAGACCGATTGAGAGACAAACAGACAGCTAAGCAAACGCCTTTTCATTCGTAGTCTTACACTCCATAGGTAGAGTAAAATTAAAATTTCGAAGGGGATTCCTCACAGTCAAACTCAGTCAGATGGTGACTACAGTTCAGTACAGTTCAGTTGATAGGCGAAGTAACTCCCTCAGTGAAGGGACCACCATAGGTGATACAGCTACCAAGTTAACTGAACCCATCCATTACTTCTAGTGACTGGTCGGAAATAGCTAAAACCGGAGCTGTCGGCCCAGTCCTGCAACAGCACTTTGCACTTTGAAGGTGTATAGAACATGCCGAAGCGTGCAACACTATGCACAACTCTGTGAAGCAGCGTTAGCATAGCCATTGCATCGGACTCAAGGAGAAGTATATCTTCCGCATACTCCAGGTTTGTCCGTCGGTCGCCTGGCAGAACTTCCACTGCAAAATAGTCCGACAGAACCGAGTCATTCATGATCATTTCAACAACAAAATTGCAGAGGAATGGAGACATAGGACAACCTTGGCTAACCCCATTTGTTGGGGAGAGCTCAAGAGGCTGTTACACTTAGACCCTTACACGGCCTCGGGAATCAAGGTAGAGGGAGTTCAGAATGAAAAGGAGTTAAGCTGGCACGCCCTTCATGAATAGACAGTGTCACAAACTGGCGAGGTCGTCAGAGTCGAAGGCTGTATTCATGTGAACGAAAACCATCACAGTCGGTCGCCTGTATGTGTATCTGCTTTAAAACTCGGCGAATTGCAAAGGTGTTCGATGCAACCACGACCAGGGCGGAAGTTATCAAGGCTTTCGGTGATTCGGTTCTTACGGGAACAGTAAGTCCTGAATGAAGTATACCAGTGAGAAGTTTTGAGGCAATGGAAATAACACTAATGCCTCGATGATTTTGGCACAAAGTACGCTGACACGTCTTGAAAATGGGCACGACAGTTGATAGTCGCCAGTCTGAAGGCACTTCTTCAGTGTCCCAAATCGTGTTAAAAAGAGAAGCAAGTCTAGTCAACAAAGAGTCATCACCATCTTTCAGCAAAGATGGGGGAAGGTCGTCGGTCGCTGGAGCCTTGTTTCGTTTTAACACGGCGATCTCAAGTCAAATCTCCTCCAATGTGCGAGGTACGACATCCTACGTCGGCTCGGGTGATTCGGCAAGCGGCAGTATCGCAGCAGACCTGTTGAGTCGTTCTGCGAAATGTTCCGCCAAACGCGCTAGTCGACGATGCTGAAAGTGGATCAACAGTCCATCTATTGTCTCTCTAACTGATGGCTTTCTCGGACCCGTGTTCTGGATGAGCTAGAATGACACTCGGCTGTTTCCAATAGCCCTGGCGTTCTCCATATCACGGGCCTTTGCAGCCCGCTAACGTTACCGTTAAAATCGAAGACTTCTTGTCCGACGTCGTTCCAGGGAGTTACGGATACGCTGAAACTCAGGGCCCATCGGAACCCGTTTAGGTGCTTTGATCAAACTGGTCGCCACTTCCGAGATCCATTCACAGTTACGACGTCACAAGTCGGGTGCACGTCAAGCGTTAAAGGCATTCTTCACGGCACACTTGAGACGATTCCAGTCCGCGTTCGGCTCACCAACTTCATTCATCACTGACAATTGGTGAACCGGTTTCTTATGATAATGTTGAACCGGAGACTGCGATTGCATGTTATAGGTAAGAAAACTAGTAGATAGGCGCTTCTGTGCAATGGAAAGAGTGAACGCCAAGTGTGTGTGCACTGGAGCATGGTCGGAATCCAGGTATGTGCTCCAAATTGATCGACAGACTTGGACTAATGTGCACCATCTGTAGCTGTTGACAATATGGTCAGTTCTGATCCAGCTCATTGAGGAATTCAGTGGGTTTTAGGTGACGCGGTGTGAACGTTTGTGCTGGTAAGTAGTGCTGCTGATACAAAGATTGTGGTCCGCGCACAGTTGCAGGACTCGATCACCATTGTCTGTTCGGCGTGCATTGATACTTCCAAGTGTCTCTCAGAATCTGAAAGACTACTCGATTGGTCGTTCAAGTCACCAGCAACAACCACGATGTCAATGTTCTTCGCCTTGCGGCGAAGGACTGAAAGATGGTAGTAAAAAATGTCATTGGTGACCTCCGAACTGCAGTCAGCAGGAGCATAAACGGAGTCGATGAAAAGGCACCTTTTTTTCATACGGTGCTTATCAACCCCAATAGATGTTCGAAGTGGAACCGCACTGTTATCTTGTATGCGCGTTTCGGCGACAGCACATCACACACACATACACACACACACACACGCACACACACACACACACACACCAATACTAAGAGAGTGAGGAGTGTGAGTCAGTGCTGAATGTTGGCAGATCTGACCCAAAGTGCTGAGGTTAAAAGAACCAATGTGATATGAGACTCGTTGTTCGATGGACGAGTTGCGAGCATAGATTGCAGCAAGAGCGACGTCAGCGGCAGATTCTTACACAACAGACTGGAGAGTTGAAAGGGACGAGAAAAATAGGAAGAAGTGGGAGCATTGTCGATGAGGTCGGGAAGACAGATGATATTCTCCGACTGCCCATTCTAAGAGAGCGGTTTTGTTTGAGGTACCCTACCTCTAGTATTTGACTCAGCAGTCTGACCCGTCATGCAGTGGGGATTTGGACGTTTGCTTCAGGGACTCTATCCGGAGCATCTGGCTTAATAGCCTGACCCACAAGGCAGTGGGGAGCAAGTTCAGATCGGGAGTGTGATGGCAGAAACCCATTTGGATCCGCTGGAGGCCTGCCACACACAGCCTTTGAGGATTTGGAAAATTCGCATATGTTTTATGACCATAATACGTTAAGCACTTGAAACCACGGCCAGCCGCAGGTGAGGGTTGGCTGGTTTGCACCAATTTGAACATGGGTCGCCTGGCTTGAAGCGGGCGGTAGCAGACCATTAGCACCGTCAGGTGCCCTCCCACCATCAAAGGCAATGCGTGGTGCTCATGCTCTACAACAATCGAGCTGTGAGCTTGTAACACGGATACCTGTTGTCTCCCATGGCTAGATTTTAAAGGAAGAGGGCCATCGACCTCTCCCTAGCCTCTGAAGAGGATTGGATTTTGAGAATTCAACTACGGGAAAGCCCAAATCGGTCACTCCGTCCTTCCAGGACCTCTCGGTAGCACACATTCCATATACCCGGCGATGAGCTAGAATCTTCAACTTCCGGTTGAGGGTTAAAATCACCGGCCACTGTGAACGAGTGGTAGTCCTTGCAACCAACTCGCCAAACGTGATACCGGGTGACATTCCTCACCCACTCACATGCGCATCTCAAATCTGTAGAACACTTGGTTTGGCTCCAAACACACAAATTACTTAGCCGAGTGTGGCTGTGAGGAGCCGTCTTCGAAATTTTATTCAAATCCTCCTTCTAACTGCCCTCTTAGAATGTGATGCATAGCCCTAAGGAGGGATTGTTATTTTGTCCCGATAATCGGTTTCCCGCAAACAGTATTCGTCTGCTGAATTCTCTACGACATATTCGTCAAGGTTTAGTAGTAATTCCTCGCTCAGGCTAGCTCTGCGCATACTGTTAATATTGTTTTGTGCATCAAACGTGTAACAGGTCTGCCATTCGGTCCCGGCTCTAACCGCAGGGTATCAGACTAGCCTGGAAAATCCCCTCCGCCTTAGTGCATATTTGTTAATAAGACCCGAGTGGAAACCCTCACAGTGGGGATGACGTGGCGCATGTGGTTTATACTCGTAACAACCGGGTTGTTTGAACAACCAACGTGTACTGCTGTATACGTCATGGGCCTACCAGTTTGATTTGTGCATGATTCAACTGTTAACAAGTCATCATCTGTTTGGTGCAGCAAGTTGCTTCACGGGTTCCATCGGACTGCCAAATGTTGCAGATGACATGGTGAATGCAGCCTTCTTGGCGGTGATAGGCGCCTACGGACTGACAAAGGGTGACTATCGCCACACAATCCGCTACGCAAACGTGGTGGATGACGACCGGTAGCCATATGAATGCGACCTCGATGGAAACGAAAGTCACACACTCTTTCAACATATGGTTGGCAACATACTCCGTGTCAATTTTACCTGTTCATTTTCCTCCGAATCAGGTGTTGATTGTTTGATATCCCCAGTGTGACTGCACTTGATGTGAATGTTGACAAGGTGCCTGACTGTCTACAGCTCTCCACCTTGATCACCAGAACTAGGAGACTGTGAATCATTGCCGGGGGGACGGGGTGCATGGTCCTCGGGCCCGTGCTAGACTCAAAGACTGGTTCCATCCAATGTAGAGTGGACTACGGTCCAGCCACGGCCTTGTGCATATCTGGTACGCATGGTTCCCTACATAGATAGACAGGAACGCTGCTGCTGTGCAGGTTGAAAAGTGTTGGCCCGGCTCCGTTGATGAAATGTTGCCCCAATCCGCATGTCTCCCTGTCTTATTCCTTCCGAGTTACACTGTATATGGGGTGTATAGGTGGTGAGGCGCAAGTTACCCATAGTCCCTCTGTAGGCGCAGGCGTCATGTGGCCATCTTATGGAGGCCGCAGTGACAGGCAAACCTGGAACAGTATGCCGCCAACCATATATAGGCGTACGCTGGACTGTAGGAAGGAACCGCCCGAAGGAACCTCATGAAACTGGCTGCAATCCACGTGGCCAACGTTGTGCTCGGCCTGGGAATTTACAGCACATGGTTCGCAACTGCATCAGCAGCGCATCTACTGTCATCTACTAGTCGGATTATTTGTTTATG